TCTCTCTCTCTCTCTCTCTCTCTCCCTCCCTCCCCCTCTCTCCCCTGAGGGGTAATGTGCCTCCATGTCAGTCTGCTGTGCCCCCTGCCCCGGGGCCACACGGCGGCCACACAGCAGCAGCAGCAGCGCGGCACGGCGACCACCGCCGCGCAGCCGAGCGCAGCCGCAGCGACCACAAAGCAGTACGACATGTCGTTCCATCCTACATAGCTGGCCTGCAGCCCGGTGACACTTTCCTCCTCCCCTGGCGGGGCCGGTGGCGGGGCGCGGCGCGGTGGCGGCCGACTCTCGGAGCGGCTTTAAGTACCTTTGCTAGTTGCCCGGCGTAAGTTATCGACACCACTACTTCTCCGCCGTGTAAATCTCGGAGAGCGCTGCACGGAGAGTTCGGCATGGGCGTGGCGTGGCGTGGCGGGTGTGCTCTGATGCATAATGCCACCCCATCAGCATGTGCATGGGACGGCTCTTAGCCCGCGCGTGGGCCCCAAGACTTGGAAGGACAGAGACACAGAGAAAGAGAGACGGCCACATTCAATCTCCGACGACTATAAATCGGCCGCCAATTAGCCAAATCTACTCGTATATACACCTTGGAGCCTCCAGAGCACGGAGTTGCGGAGGCGAAGCCGCCCGCGATACATCTCAGCAGCAGCGCTCGGAAAGACATTGCAGGCAAAAATGGAGTAAGATTCTCTTTTCTCGTTTCTCGTTGTGACGCACGCAAACTGATTTAATGATGTCATGTGCTGAAACTAACTGAAACTACAAAATGCAGACTCAAGAAAGTGGAAAGGGGGCAGGGGGAGGGCATCACTGTATATACGGTTTACAAAGTGCAGTGGTGTAACTTTATCGCGATTCACCGTACCGAAACTTGGGCTACGGGTCGTAATCTCCAGACCAGGGCGCGCCAGCGCGTCGTCTCCAACCATAATGAAGAGCCTGTTCACTGAGTCAGGAGGCCATATTTTATCAGAGAGCGCGCTAGGCGTTAACTTTTTCGAGGCCCGTGTCAAAAACATTCTACATTTCTGACATTTCTGCTCGAAAAAAAGGGCCATGGACAAATAAGTGTAAAAGTAAAAGTGTACAGAAAATTTAACACCGCAATTTACTTGAAAATTCACCAAAAAATAAAAAAATTGACCAAGTTTACTGAAATTTGTCAAAACTCAAGATGTTAATATCCAAATTACTTTTCTTTAACTTCAAGCACAGTTCTTAAAACAAAATCCTAATCTGAGAACTTTAAACAACAGAAAATAAAGTACTCCAAAAGTCAAGCCATTCCTATCCCCCTTGGAAAAAGGAAATCACACGAAGGTTTGCTGGCGCTTGCGGACCTCAAGGGAAAAGGGGGGGGGGGGGGTCCTCCAGGCAGTTCGCCTGGGGAGCAGCGCCTTACTGGAGCTGGTGGGCGGGTGAGGGCGGCGGGGCTGGGCTGTCACGCGTGCGGGACAATCGATAGGGTGCACCGGGGCATCGTCACGCCCGGGGGCCGGGGGAGAGCGGCGGGGCTGACCCTCCCCGATATGACTGCAGGAAGTAACAGCGGCGGCGGCAGCGGCAGCACGTTCGATAACCCACTTTGAGCTGCGGCCTGCTGCTGCACACCGTGCGGCCGGACCAGCCCGTGTCACACCACAGTCCGCCCGCCACCGCTGCAGCCCGCATCTGATTCGCCTGTCACGTTATTTTGCAGACGTTACATGCATTTGTGGTATTATTTTTCCTTCGACGCCCCGCCACCAACACCAATATTTAGTAGCTGCTCCCGCCCCACCCCGCCTTCGGATTTTAAATTCCAAAGACTATCCGGAAACTTGTCCCGGAAGAAAGTGGAAACATTTCCGGAAAAATCGGAAAAATCTCAGGAAAAACCCCCGCGGGAAAATCTGTTTATGAAATTCTCCAAAGGTATTTTGGGGAAATTTAATTCCCTCGACCCGAGCCGCTTGTGGTGAAACTTCCCCGCCGGTCCAGCCCGGCCCCGCCCGGCCCAGCACGCGTTTTCTCACCGCGCGCGCCGCCTCGCCATAAAGGCGCGCTGCGCTGCGCTGCCCGGCGCAAGGTCGCGCCGCGCCCACGACTGCCGATGGTGTGCCGGCCAGTGTGTTATTAATTACGTTTTACGGTTCCCTACCGCGCTCCTCACCGTATGGTTTCACCACACCACCGTCCGCGCCGGCTGAGCGGGGTCCATCCCCTCACCCGTGCAGCACCCGTCCTCCTGCTTGGCGGATCGGATGGGGCGTACGGGGTCATAAACACCTCTCTCTCGCTCCCGCACCACGATGATTGTAAAATTGGGAGGAGAGCTGATGATGACGAGCGGAGCCTCCACGGCGACGTGTGAGTGGAGAGTAGGGTGAAGAAACACCTGAAGTTTGGCGGAGGAGGACTCACCATCTCATCGAGGCTCTTCAGGTCGTTGGTGATGATCTGCGGCATGGGCCCCAAGAAGCGGTTGTCCATGTCGTCGTCATCGTCGTCGTCGTCCTCGTCGCTGTCTTCCATGCCCTCCTCCTGGACCAGGTCGGTGCGCTGCTGCGCGCGCGCCTCCAGCGCGATCTCCCGGTCGATCTCCCGCTCCAGCTGCACCAGCATGGGCGCCAACATGCCCATTTTAGCCCCCCTATAGAGCAACAAACCATGTGCAGAAACGGTTATAGAAAACCTTGCATGTGCATCTTTTCTAGTTTTTCAAAAATATGAAAGTAAGCAAAAAGTACACTCTGCAACTTTGGAAGCCAATGAGGATAAGAGTTGCCGGTTTGGCGGAAATGAACTAAAAAATTTTAGAAGCATGAAAGTAATGTGGAGTTCTCACCTTCGTGCCACCTCGAGTAGACACAGGATGACGTGCTTCTCATTCTTCCTCGCGATCAGGTCCTCGGTCTCGAAGAGCAGGCACTCGATGACGCCCAGGTCCTTGCGGCACCAGGCGATGAAGTTGCTCACGTTGTCGCGGGCGAAGAAGGTGCCGGGCTTGGCGGCGGCCAGGTAGCGCACCTCGCCGCGGAGGCTGAGCGCCAGGGCGAGGGCCAGCCCGCCGCCCGAGGTGGACGCCGAGGCGGTGAGCGGCCTGCCGCGCGCCTGGCGCCGCGACACGTAGTCCAGCGCTGACTGCCGCACCGCGTTGGCGTGCTGCGAAAGAGAAGAGCATGGGCGTCAAAACCAGGGCTGTTTGGAGTGTTGTTGCGTGACGAAACCTTAAAAGACACATTGGCGGGGACTTCAGCAACAAATTGAAAACCTGCCGGAAAATTTAAATTCCTATAAAAGTCTCTAGCTGCTCAACATGTGTGCAAAGCGCTCCATATTGAGACGGCACCAACACGCGATGGACGTTCCGCTCCCATGTGGCGCTTGATTGAATGTCACTATGCTGCTGCTTTCCCGATCGACCCCGTCGGTCAGAATGGAGAGAGAGGAGGAGGGGGAAGGGGGGGGGGCGAATGCTCATCAGCAAGAGGACCGCGAGCTCATCGGCGCCCGGCAGCTAACCGCAACGATAACCGTGATGAGCGGTGAGGCCGGCGGTGAGGCCGGCGGCGTCCTGGAGGGACGGGAAAGCAGGCCGGCGCGCGGCCTGGAGAGTCAGTCCACTGGGGCCGCGGGCGGCCCGCTGCTAGGGCAGGGCGAAGCAGGCCCCCGCCCCGCAGCCAGCACACCAAAAACGTTACTGATGCACTTTTGTTTTAAAGCGTAAGTATGGCGAGGAAGTTCGTGCATTTGCAATCGGAAAACTGGCAAGCTGAAGCACCGCCATATTGTGTATTGCTTGCTCTGGGAGAGCTTTAAAACGAGGGTGGAGGCAGGCAACATACAAATGCATGGTTAAGGTTAAACTTTTGTTTTGTTCACTGCTTTGGTTGTTGTTTCAACCATCGTTTTGTTGCTGTCCCTGCGGCCACACGGGAGTTACTTATTCAGATTTCCATTTTTCGAGGCGCAATTTATAATTCTGCACACGAACCATCACTAAATTGTGTGCAAATCCGCACCACGAAAGGGCGTGTGCTAGCACTAGGTGCATAAGACGAGACGTCACCGAGGACGTCACCCATTGTACTCGCAGAGAGCGTCCTCGTAACAATCAAGCAGCCCAACCCCATAACCGCCCGCGTCGCGCGGAGTGACTGACGCGACGACAGAGAGTGAGTGACCCCTGGACCACGCGGCACACGAGGCGCCCCGCAGAGCTCGAGCAGCGCTTGAGCGGACTTCATTGTGTCGCGCGCCTCCACTTAACACTTCCGTACGAATAACGACTCGGGCGGAGCGCGCCCCGCGGCCCCGCGGCCCCGCGGCCGGACCAGCCCGTCGCCGTGTCGCCGAGAGTGCGGAGCCGTGTCCGCCCAGTGTCCGCGACCGCCGCGGAGCAGCGCAAGCAGTAGTACCCAGGGAAGGGGCCCGGAGACGGAGCGGCAGGCGGGGGTCAAAATCACACGGACCGGAAATGTGCTCGTTTCGTTTCCGCTACACCGTATATACACGGAAAAGTAAGCACCACTCTCGGAAGTTACTAATTTAGGAAGAGCGGGAATTATGATATACGCGAGGGTTGCCTTCGCCTTTTGTTGAGTTTACAATATTCAAATTTAACTGTAGACTGTAGATTAAACTTCAAGCGTTTAGAAAATTTTTGAGACGAAGAAATTTCGGAGAGGGGGTCGGGAGGGTGTATTGTTGTAATCAATCTTGAAAACTTACAATTAATCAATTCATTATTGGTTGTGAAATAAAACACCTTGTCGTTCTGTGTAGATTTTACAACGAACTTTGTCAAATTATAGGCATACTGCGATGACACAAACTGGGCGTCCCAATCGACTGATGCCCATCCATTTCATTTCACTTGACGGTGTGCGTTCGGCTTCCTGGACAAAGCTCACACAGGAGCGGCAGCGGTGGCGGCGTCGCCCGCTCGCCACTTTTACTTTCTCTCCCACATATTGCTTTATTAAGCCTACCACCGGGCCCGGTGGCGGGCAGGTCGGGGGCCCTTGCGCAGCCTAGCCCTAGCCCATTCAAAGGGACGCTCGGCGACGCGCTAGAAAGAGAAAAGAGCGAGAGCGAAGCGTTTATAGATAGGGAGAAATGCCGACAGAAGAAGGAGGAGGAATTAGCCCGCATAATCCTACACAACTGCTATTAATCAACGTTTTATTCAACCGTTTCGCAGCAGAAGCTGCCGCGGCGCCACATTCCTGCGTCGTCGTCGCGGTGGGAGGAGAGGGACCGCGCCGCGCCCGCGCCCGCGCCACCGGCAGGACGAGGACGACGCGGGGAATGAGGTAATGGGCGAGCGACCTAACCCAACCCGTAACCTCTTGTCGCCCACCGTCCAGCACTGGTACGGCAGCAGCTCGGTAGCAGCGGCCTGACAAGGGGACCGTGTAAGCGCCGGGGAGGGGGAGCGGGTGCACGAGAGAGGGTACTTCACTACAAAAATAAGCGTACACAGTACAAATAAAATTGGGAAAAATCAAGCAAAAACAGAAGAAAAAAAATAGAAAAAAAATAATATCAAGGAAAATCAGAAGAATTAGCATATTTCTTCTTTTAAAAATTCAGAAAACATTTAAAAATCAGGAGAAATTTAAGAAAAACAGGGAAATCGGTGATAGTGGAGTACCCCTCGGCGGGCAGCGTCACAAGGCGAGCCCCAGCAGCGTTCCCCGGACGCCCCGCGAGGAAGTGCAATTAGCCAATTACTCTGCAACGGCGGCAAGGTTATTGCCACACATAACGAAAAGGAAACGATTGTTGGTGGTGTGGCGGAGTGTGGCGGTGCGTGGCGAGCGTGAGCCCGGCGGCCCTTGCTCCCCCAGGCCCGACAGAGCGTGTGTTATAAAGTTATGAGCGGAGCGACGCGGCGGACGTGTGTTGCAGTTAGACGCGCGCATTCCAAAAACAAAAATATTAACAGACTTGAAAAATTTCTTACAACTACAATAATAACAATGAGAAAAACACGGGGCGGGGCGGCGACGTGGGGCGTGGGGGTGATTGCTAGTAAACAAGAACAAGTACCAGGGGGAAAGGAGGCGTACAAGAGGACTCTGTCGACAAGGGAGGCGGTCATGATCAGCTGGCTCGTAAGCATCCTCTCCTCACCTCACCCGGCGACGCGTCCGTTGACTCAAGAAAAGTGTACACACTCACACAGTGACACACACACACACACACACACACACACACGCACACGCACACGCACACGCACAGGCACACGCGCGTTGACAGCGCGAAGAAGCAAGAGGTTGTGTGCGCGTGTGTGTGAGCGTCGAAAATAAATACACACTTCATGTTCTACTTCGCACACATCCGGCGCGGCCGGGCGTGGCGTGGCGTTACGGCCAGGCGACTATGGACGGCGACAACGCCCTTTGGTCAACGTGCGAGGCCGCGTAGGTCGGCGATGACGACGACGGCGGCCCTTCGCGGAGCAAGGGCAGGGCCTATGGGCTCCTCCCTATGCGAGGTCCGCGAGGAGGACGGAGACGGCCAGGCGCGAGGTCCTCCTCCTCGGCGTGGAGGGGCCCTTCATGCGAGCTGCACCACCATCGGCAGCAACGGCAGCAGCTGCTGCCGCGCTTATCGCCCGCGGATCGCAGTCCGTCTCTGGGCCCC